TATTTTTGCCATGGTATTTGAACACTTTATTTGGGATAGTACCCTGTCCTAAAAAAACAACATGTTTTAGGCAGATAAGTCAAATTTCCTTCTTTCTTGGAACAATAGTATGAAACTGAACTTGTGGCAGTAGTTGAAGACTTTTACCCTGTTTTTGAGTTTAATATTTTTGAGATAGAAGTGAAATTAGAAACTAGAACCCTTCATATAAAAATATATGCATATCAATTTATTAACCTCTAATTTCTTAACAGCAGAAACATGAGGATTAAAACCAAACAAAACCCATGAGGATTAAGTAAGATATATGCACGATTTAAAATCTAGATAGATCTTTAGAGTTAAATTTACCAGGGTCCTGCAATTTGTCAGATTCCATTATCTCTATTTAGCAATTTATTTTGTCCAGGAAGGCTTCTATTTTAAATTTTACTTTGTTTTATAGTGTCACCCAAGAAGAATAACCTCAATTCTTCATGTTTTCCCAATAGCTTCAGAAGTGCTGGATATCATTAAAAAAATATATGACACCAGTTACCAGAGAACCTAAGAACTCTGATTCTGATGAGTTCCTTTACCATCTTCAGTCACTTTCTAAACAGAATTTAACCGCACATTATCAAATAACATTTTATACTAAAAAACAAATAATTTAAATAGCCCCCCAAATGACAGTATTTGAGAGATCTAAATGAATTCCATCCATGCAATAAAGTTTACATATATGGTATTGGTAAGCTACTACCACTGTACTTTGTTCCATGGAGGAAAAAGCAGAGAATCTAAATATTTAGACACATGAAAGATATTGGGAAAAATAAAAATTTAATGCTTTTTATTCTCCCCAAATACTCTTGATTTGGACTCTATAGCCCACTGAACACAAAAGCAACTGTAAAATACATTTCGAGAAGAGATGATACCATACTTAAAGACAAGGTAATTCTACAAATTTTGAAAGCATTAAAAAACTGACTTAAAAAATAGTCACTGGGAGAAAAATATTGTCACTGCACATCCAAGAACCAAAGGTGTGTGATATTTGATTATTTAAGTAATACTTTGTGCTTATACTATGCCCTTTATTCAGGAGTGCAAAGCACTAAAAAGTAAGCATTATTTACATGTTTAGAGTAAACTGAGGCACAGGAAATTTTACCAGGGCAAGATAAAAGCCAGGTTTTTAGACATAAAATGATTCAGAATTCCACATTTCCAGTTCCTTAAAATATAACTTAAATACTACCTTTAATGCCTCCACTTTATCAAACTTAAGTAGTTTACAATTATAGTTTAAGTTGTACACTCAAGTAGTGTGTGACAGGTAAAGCCCATAGATTTCCAACATGTTTAAAATAACTGGTATATTGACCAAGAAAGTTTGCTTTTTGCTTAAAAAAAATTCTTTTTAAAATAAATTAGATTGTTTGAGGGAAGTTCTGGAAATTCTTGCCTTGATTTTTCTGCTTCACCTGCCTACATTAATATAGGGACAATAATTTGTTCCTTAAATATATATTGCACTTCTAATCCTTTCCTCTCAAGATCTTCTCTTAGTGAACTGAGGTGGTGACTCATTAAAAACAAAATAAATTTTTGTGCAAGTACAAAATGGTTAATGTTAAGTTCAGTCACTAATCTCTGACATTAACTTGCTTAATTAAACTAAGGTAAAAAAGTACGAGGAAAAGTTCAAAACATCTTAAGGGATAAGTAGACAAATATTAGAAATGTGAGACAATAAAATAAAATATATGCTTCCAAAGCCTATTCCTAAACTTAAATCTATGCCTCATTTAACTACTAACATGACACCTTGAAACACAGAAGTCACTTTACCTAAGTACAGTGGGCCAGCGTATTATAGGAAGCAGTCACTGCCAATTTTAGCTGCCGCAAACTGCTTAGTGTGTGTCTTAAAATGTTGACTCTTAAATTTGAGGAAAAATGCATAGATTCCTTTGAGAACCTAATAGAAGTCATGGATCCTTGCTTTAGAATACACAATAAGTACTGTTAAATGTCAAAAACCTATTGTGCATCATAGCACTGTTGATTCAATGAAATTAGACACGAAGAAAATTCATAGTTAATAAAGACTGTTCACTAACCTTAAGGAACGTTTTAAAAGTACGAGAAAGCCCAGTGATTATATCATTCTTTCATGTGCCTCTTTTGCTGGCTGTAATGTTGACTGGTTGATGGAAATGTGCCCCTAATCTAGCCTATAAATATTAAAAGCAAAAATGTTTGTGTTCTAACTGCTGCTAGCAGTATACATGTAACAATTTTCTAGTACTACAAAATACTGCGAAGGAAAGACTTTAATATACCACTATCAAATTCCTATATACTCAAACCAGCAATGAAATGTCTGAGTATAATTTGTTGCCTTGAGCAAAATATAAGAAAATAAAGACACGATAGCTCTAAATTCTTTATAATCTTCAAGGATGGGAAACCAGTATCTCTGAGAAGTTTGTTTGTTTTAATAGAATTGAACATTTAATTTTACCCCCACAGTAATCAAAGCAAACATTTTATCATTATTATTCTTGGTATATCAAACATTCCAGGAATGTAAGAAAATCTGACTTGGAAATATTACATAGAAAAAGGCTGAATTAACAAACACATTACATTTTTTAATTACTTCTTATAAGTATACATTGACATCTACTTATCTGATAGCACTGCTGCTTTTGAGTGAGTCTTTTTTTTCTTCCAGAGGGAATGGAGAATGGCAGTATTATCTTTTGAACAAATTAAGTAGACAGTAGCAAACAACAGAATAACTTCTACACATAAATTTTTCAAGGGCAATAAATAGTAAATATAATTATGGGAACATATGCCTCAAATATGCTTTGTAGAATTTCTCAGGATTTATTTATTTATTATTAAAATATACTGCACTATCACTACTATCTGGGGAAAAACGAACCCTGAAGTTTTAGTTTCCTCCTTCAACCAGAATGACAAGAGTAAACCTGGCCCTAGCTGGTTTGGCTCAGTGAATGGAGCATTGGCCTGTGCACTGAAGGGCCCCAAGTTCGGTCCCCAGTCAAGGGCACATGCCCGGGTTGCGGGCTCAATCCCCAGTAGGGGTGTGCAGGAGGCAGCCGATCAATGATTCTCTCTCATCATTGATCTTTCTATCCCCCTCCCTTTCTCTCTGAAATCAATAAAAATATATTAAAAAAAAAAAAAAAGAGTAAACCTGGACTAAGGTCAACTTGTTTGAGCCAACAGAATTCTGCAGTACATTTGGTTACTTTACCAATGTACGCATATTCTGGGTTATTATCAAGAGACTCATCAAATATTTTATATTAATGTTTTATACCCCAAACAGGTTCTCTGATGATTATCATGCTAGCATAGGAAATTTGAAGGAATAACAAATTGGTATAACATAAACAGACATGCAGTACACAAGACATAAAAGATATAGCTTGACCCTGGATTTTTCCCTTAGAATAATTCCTTCCATAAATAAGACTTTACTTTTTACATGTAGACTAATCCTCTTGGATCATGGAGAATGTTAAGGACATAGCTTAAGCAATCTAGACCACTTTTTCTTTTTTTTCTTTTTTGTAGTCTATTGTCACCCAGACCACAAAAAACGTTCTCCAAGTGGATGCTCAGGTTAGATTGATGCTCTTACACAAACTTACTGAGGCTTAGAATGTAAATCACGTAACTACTTGCAGCAGCAATAGTCATTTCAAAAATGACTAAAACAAACTTTTAAATACAAAGCATATAAAAGTGACTATTAAGGATAGTTTTCCAAACTATATCTAGAAATACAGAAATACATGTGTTGCCTCATGATAAAGTTCAATAAATATTCTTTCTGAATCCTACAAACACTACAAGATGTTATAGGTTTATTTGGTTCTCATAAGTTAAAAAAATCTGATTGTTTTTATATAAATTCCTCCAACAGATTTCTACTACTGCTTTTTACTAGACTCAGAGATTATACTCTAACTTCCCTTCAGAAATGTGCTTTTTTGTTGGTTTTAATAAAGTATACTTAATTTTCTAGCAAATAAACATGATTTAAATTTTAAGGTTCAAGGTAATTCTAGAAAAAGGTAGACACTGAACTACTTGCTTTTCTACATCCTCATATTTACAAAGCCCAGCATCCACTATGGTTTCCTTCTTACTCTCACTTATTACACTGCCAGTAAATAGTAGCTGTGGTCCAAGTTACCTATATTAAAGATTTCAAAATTCTTCAAAATTTCACAACACTACAAAGTCATAATATCTGATTTTGATAGGATATGAGTATTAGTATTATGTAATTTTTTGCTACTGGAAAAAAAATACAAGTCTTTATTTTTTCTACCTAATTAAATCCGAGCTCCATGATCAGTTCTTATGATAATATCTAAAATGTACATTCCTAAAGAAATGTAAAGCTGTTTTAGGGCTGAACTAGTCCAATATACAATTAAGGATTATTTATTCCTGTTATTTTTTTTGTCTTTTTTTTTTCCTTTTAAATCCCTATATTAAACCCCTGGTTTCTTGTGGATTAGATCATAATTTAATATTGAAAAATTAATTTCAGAAACTATTGTGCTAATATTTAGTTTTCAGGAAGGAATCAGACAAAATCAATTACCTCCATTCATTGTTAGAACAGAAGATAAAATAGCTTACTAACTGATATGAGTTATGAATGTCACTATGACACAAAATTTGCTGTGATTTGCTTATTTGGCTACAAGTGCAGTATTTTTCATGAATGACAACGCACAGCATTTCCAACTTGTAACACGAAACTCCAGCTCATAAATAGTGTACTGTGTGACTTGAAAAGTCTGATTATAAGTTAAGTAACAACCTTTCCCCTGAAAAACATGAACAAAATCCATTGGGAAATCAGGCACAGACGGTATTTATCGGTTTTTCTTCCTTTCCTCCTGTGGTTTTGTTTCTCAAGACATATAGATGGTTTCAATAGAATCCAACACTTGTTACAAAATAACACAGCTATTTTTTTCCTTTTCTTTTTCTTTATCTTTTTCTCGAGGTTCCTTTCGTTTACGTTCACTATTTCCAGATTGTCTTCCACTTGACGGAGAGGCTTGTGCTGGCTGGCTTTGCTTTAGAAAAAACAAACAAGAAGAAATTACTTCAACTTTTCTTAACTATGCTTAATCATAGTTATCTAGAAAGAAAAACCGCAGGAGTGAAAGAACTCATTAATGAAAAAAGAAGCTATTGGCATATAGCCTTGTTATGTTACATGGTATCTGAGTAGTTGCCTCTACAATTATGAATAGATATATAAATTATTCTAAGTAAATAGATATTTCAAACAATAAATAACGTCAAGTAAGATTATGTTGCCTGAAGTCTCAAATTCAAGAAATATTTATGTTAAAGTTTAGAGAATGTTAATGAAAGTGATACCATTTGGTAAACTACAATAGTTCTCTAATCCCCCATTAACTACCATAATAAACAGATTTTAAAAGGAAAAAAAATATTGAAAACTGAGTGTGTGAAATAAGTGTATTCAGTGAAATAAGAGAAAAAGAAAATTTTTTTAAAATCCTCACCCAAGGATATTTTTTCCATTGATTTTTTTAGGGGAAGAGAGAGGGAAAGACAGAGAGAAACATCAATTGGTTGCCTCCTGTATGAGCCCCAGGGCCTGGGCTGGGGAGGAGCCTGCAACCAAGGTACGTGCCCTTGACCAGAATCACACCTGGAACCCTTTGTTCTGCAGGCCGACGCTCTATCCACTGAGTTAAACTGGCTAGGGCGAGAAAATTTTTAATGAAAAGCTAATCATACATGTAGGTTTTAACTTTTAAGCTTGGGGTAGTCAATATTTGAGCTAGAAATAGATATGTTATACTTATTTTAATGGAGACCTCTATATTTATAGCTTCATCAGCTCTTAAAGGACATCTCCCTTTCTTACAGTTTTGGCACGGTACAGTTAAACATAAAAAGGGGGATTTTCCCCCCCATTTAATGCAATGAGATTTAACATATAGAAACCGACTTAACAGTCACATTTACAGTGCATAAAACATTCAACTGGGAAGAGTAAAAAGTGGGAAAGTGCTAATCTTGGTTGGATACTTAGTACATGCCAGACACTGGGTTTAGTTGTTCTCAACCACAAACCTAAGAGCTAAGTACTATCTCCTATTTTACATACAGGGAAAATGAGGCTAAGAGGCAGATGACTTTGTCCAAGGTGTTACAGGAAATGCAAATCCACATCTACCTGACTCCGGAGCCTACATTCTTCCCGTAGTAGCTCACACTGCCCTCTGATTGACAGAAAAGACTGTTTAAATTGGTTTATATTCTGTGCAGCTATTAATAACTTTAAAAAATAAATCTGAAAACTCTTGTCATCAGAACCTTATGAAAAATAACTTCAGTAAATGAGAACAATAGTAAGATAACCACAAAAAATGCTTACATAATTAAAGAGTCAATATATAATTTTAAAATGTTTATCTCAGCACAAATTTCTTTATTGTTAAAGTGATCATTGTGTTTAAGAATGAGAACACTGTTTTCACCTGAGCCTGGGTAGAAGCAGAAGTAGAAGCAGCAGCAACTGCTGCTTGTTCCTGTTCCTGGTAATATTGAGAAGCCCGTCTATCCTCTTCTTCTTGGAGTTTCTTTGCGAGTTCCAAATCACTGATTCCTTCCGGTGCTTGTTCCCAATTGATCTCTTGGCTCTGCTGTTCTTGTTGTAGAGATAATGCCATAAGATAGTCCTAAGAAATGAAATTATAACCATCTTTAGCTATGAGACATTACCCAAGAACTAATGAGTGTAAATATAGAGGTTATAACTACAAAACTAAGAATGGCTTTTTAAAAACATACCAGAGCTTAAATATAAAAACAAAAGTTATCTAAGTGCTTCTGCTTGGGCCCTAGCTGGTTTGGCTTATTGGATAGAGCATCAGCCTAAGGACTGAAGGGTCCCAGGTTCAATTCCAGTAAACGGCACATGCCCAGGATGTGAGTTCAATCCCCAATAGGGGACGTGCAGGAGGCAGCCAATCAATGATTGTCTCTCATCATTGATGTTTCTATCTCTTTCTCTCCTCTCCCTTCCTCTGAAATCAATTTAAAAAAAAAAGTGCTTCTGCTTGGGAATATTAACTTATTTCAGTGATGCTACTATTGTTCTAAATGTTTTTGGAATTTATCTGAAATTCTTTCTAGAAGAAGTATATAAGGCATTAGAGAAAACTTAAAAATGTTGCCCCTGCCTGGCTGGTTTGGCTCAGTGGTTGAGCATCACCTATGAACCAGGAAGTCATGGTTCAATGATCAGTCAGGGCACATCCCCAGGAGGGGGTGTGCAGGAGGCAGCTGATCAATGTTTCTCTCTCATCGATGTTTCTATCTCTCTATCCCTCTCTCTTCCCTTCTCTCTTAAATCAATTTTTTAAAAATCTTATCTGACTCAGTTCTAAATGGGAATTCTACTCACTAATCTACTCTTTCTACTCACCTACACTTTATCCAGTGCATGCTATCTTCAAGACTCCCTCCTTTATACGTTTTCTAATTAGCCAAAATTATCTCAACCATGTACTCATCTCTTCATCTCTATCATCTCTTGCTTGGACTACTAGTCTCTACTTATACCTGTGTCCTTCCTCTGTATTCTCCACCTCACAACCTTTTAAAAAGATGAAGTAGTTCATGTCACTTCCATGTGATATACCTGGCATATCTTCCCTACCACAATGAAATAAAATTCAAACTCTTTACCATAACCATCACAGTTCTCTATGATCTGGCCTTCTGAACCAAAGTGTACAATTAATATGCATATAGAATGATGACCTATCTATTTAGGAAGTGTCAGAAAAATTACGTAAGTATATTAATGAATAAATCTTTGTTCAAAAGTTTTGGATAACTAAATTTGTATTTGAAAGGAATGAACATTTTAAATAATATGAAGAAATAAACAAATTTACCTGATCGATCTGATCTTGTTGTCCTCTGTATACAGTTTCAGGATCTGAAGGAGGCCGCAGATGAAAATCTGAGTCACAGAAATTTCCATCACCATCAACATTATGAAGGCTTTCCCAAACAATTTTTTCTTCAGTAAGAAACCCCTGATCTGTTACCAGCAAATACAGTAGACCCTTAATAAGAAATAACAAAAGAAAAAAAGACTGATAAATTGGTAAAAACTAGTTAATACTTATTTTTAATATGTTTCTATTGATTTTAGAGAGATTGGAAGAGAGAGAAACATCGATAAGGGAGAGAAACATCAATGGGCTGCCTCCTGCACGCCCCCTACTGGGGATTGTGCTCACAAGCCAGGTGTGTGCCCTGACCCGAAATCAAACCGGTGACCTTTTGGTTATGGGAGGATTCTCAACTGAGCCACACCGGCCAGGCAAAACTAATTAATATTTAAGAGAAATCTTATAATCTGTATGCATAAAGCATATTAATTACTCCTACTAGTTAGATCCGTATAACATAATAAATAGTAGACCAAGTAGATATATTATTTGCTCACTGAATTAAATCTAGCTGGCTTTGAATATAGTTTATAATAGGTACACTATAGTATAATGAAAAATTATGCTATAATTTGAGGAGCTCCTGGCATGTTCAACAAGTAAATGACTTATAAATAGCCTTTGGGGGCGGGGGGAGGTTACAATCTCATTTCACAAAATAGAAAAATACTATACAAGTTCCTAAAAATACATCAGGTAATAAATAAGACACAGTCATAATAAAATGATATCACTCTGCCTATAGTCATAAGCCAATATGGCTAATCCAATCCATATCAATTTTTCCTTTCTCTGTACCAACAGTACTTTGTACCTGTTTCTATTGTAGCACTGAATCACACTATACAATAATTGTGTTTTTCTGCTTTATTCCCCAGACTATATGTTTTAATCTTTATATCTCTGGCCCTTAGTGTAGTGTACTCATAAAATTGAATCAATCAACTTTATTGAATCAATCAATGAACTCATATTAATAGTCACTACCAAAGAATTTAGCATTGATCTTTAATTTTTCATATGTATTAGTTCTGATTCCAATCATGTGTAAGTGTCCCTAGTATACACATAAGGATTGTAAGCCATTTTTCTTCAGATTTGCCAAAGATATCACTTTCATTTACCTGTTGAAAGTTCCTACTGGTTAATACAGTGTTTATTACCAGAGCTTAAATATAAAAACAAAAGTTATCTAAGTGCTTCTGCTTGGGCCCTAGCTGGTTTGGCTTATTGGATAGAGCATCAGCCTGAGGACTGAAAGGCCCCAGGTTCGATTCCAGTCAGTGGCACATGCCCAGGATTCGAGCTCAATCCCCAGTAGGGGACGTGCAAGAGGCAGCCGATCAATGATTCTCTCTCATCATTGATGTTTCTATCTCTCTCTCCCCTCTCCCTTCCTCTCTGAAATTAATTTAAAAAAAAAAAGTGCTTCTGCTTGGAAATATTAACTTATTTCAGTGATGCTACTATTGTTCTAAATGTTTTTGGAATTTATCTGAAATTCTTTCTAGAAGAAGTATATAAGGCATTAGAGAAAACTTAAAAATGTTGCCCCTGCCTGGCTGGTTTGGCTCAGTGGTTGAGCATCACCTATGAACCAGGAAGTCATGGTTCAATGATCAGTCAGGGCACATCCCCAGGAGGGGGTATGCAGGAGGCAGCTGATCAATGGGGAACAGTTTAGGCAGCTGACCATACTTTGCATATTCTCTCTTATCATCACAATTAATCTTAATAAGTTAAGAATAAGAAATTCCTTTAAAGAGGTTGGTGGTGTGGGTAGAGAAATTACTGAATTAATTCTGAGGCTTTAAAAACTAAGTAATTATTTTTAAACATTTATTATATGTCCAGCACTGTGGGACATAGCTCTTCCTAAAGCACAAACTCTTTCCTGTTGTCTACTGGCAGTTACATTCAAGAGTTAGCTGTAGATAGCGATGAATTTATAGTGATTGAAATTACTATAATAATATGGAAAGTATTTATAAAGAAAAACATTTTGATATAAAGTTTAAAGACATTGTTTTAATCAAAAATTAACTCCAGATTCATACTTTAAAAAAAAAATCAGATATGTTTCAATTCACCAACTATTTAAATGCCCATCATATGCTCAGCACTATGCTAAGTGCTTGAGGATTCATATCATAGAAAGTAATGATCCTACCTTAATCTGGTATTAGGTGCCCCTTTTACATGATTCCATAGAAACCTGCTCTTTCCACTTTATACAATGAATTGTAGTTGCCTGCTTACTTACTCATCCCTCTGAATACATTTCAAGCTCCTTGAGAGCCAGAGCCATGGTCATCATTATCTAACCTATTTTTAATACCCAGTTAGGGTCTACCTTGTCCTAGGATAATTTAAGAGAAAAAATAAAGTTCTTTCCAGCCAATTTTCTACTGAATAGATCTGATCTTTCTGTTTACACTTATCACAATACATTTCAACATACCATTATATTATACAATATTTAGGCTTTATAATTTAGTTTATGTAGATCATATAATGATTGGCTGTGTGCTAGGGGAAGAACCATAATCTTATCAATAATTTTTTTCCCAAATGACACTTTAGGGTAGGTAATTTCTAGGAGGGTTTCCCTTAAAGCTGTTATCATCCAGCGCATATGAATATTTATACACTTTTATCTAAAAGGGTATCCCATTCCTGGTATAACTGACCTGTCTTCTCAAGGACCATCAGCCTCAATTTCTTCCTCTTTTAGATCTTGACATTTATCGAAAAGGTCTGTAACTGGTCCACTGTCAACAATGCTGATTATTACTCAACAGTTCCTTTATATAAATTGCAGTGTAGAATAGCAAAGTATGTATTAGTATAGTACTGAACAGTTTAGGCCCATTTTTCCCGAGAGTCTACAGTTAAATTACCATCAAGAATACTTTTTGCCTTTATACCCACAATCACTTTTGCTGCATTATCTAGTCAAAGCTTTCTTTTCTAAGCTTTGAATCTTCCTTCTAATCTCATTCACCAGTCTCTAAAATACTAATTTCATAAAAAATAATAAAGCATGTATTAAATTCTTAAATTATTTATTAATGTATAAAATGTATAAATTATATAAAAATGATAAAGAAATGACATTAAATAATTTTTATCATTTTATAAAATAGGCAATTGGATAACAAAAGAAAACTGGTAATATCATCATAAATTAGTTGTATACAGAGTATGAATAACATAGTGAGAATACCATCACAAATTATAAATTGATAAAATAAAACTTGGCAAATGTAATAAAAAAATTAAGTAATTCCAGCCATTAAAATATGGAGAAAAGCACTGCCTGAATAGTTTTGGTTAACTAGTTTGGACTGAAATTACTTAATACCTTTGAACTTTAGTTTTCTTTTCTCATAAAGTGATATAGAGACATTAAGATCAGAAAATTTTTAAGATATTATAAACTGAAAGATGAATATTACTCCTACTTAACAAACATAAATCTCATCCACAAATACATCTACCCAGAGGCAAAGCTGTTGAAAATGTGAGCTTGAAGTCAGGTTGGGGCTGCTTACAAGCTGAGTGGTCTTGGGCAAGTAACTTAGGGCCTGTAAGCCTGTTCTTTCAGCTGTAAAGTAATAAGGGAGTAATAATATTCACATCTCATAGGGGAGTTGTGCAAATTAAATAAGATAATGAATATAAAGTGGTTAGCACAATGCAAGACACATGGTGCTTAATAAATATAAAGTATTATATTCATAAATATCACCTAAATTTATCTCAGTTTCTGTATCTATCTCCTTCTCCTGTCTCCTATTTGAAAGAAAAAGATAAATCTCTTGGCCTGTACTGTGGAATTTATTACTTTCCTTATTTTTTAAAAAAAATATATTTTATTGATTTTTTACAGAGAGGAAGGGAGAGGGACAGAGGGTTAGAAACATCGATGAGAGAGAAACTTCCATCAGCTGCCTCCTGCACACCCCCCACTGGGGATGTGCCTGCAACCAAGGTACATGCCCTTGACCGGACTCGAACCTGGGACCTTTCAGTCTGCAGGCTGATGCTCTATCCACTGAGCCAAACCGGTTAGGGCTACTTTCCTTATTCTTTTTCCACATTTCTGTATCCACTGTCCCCATAAAAAAAATAATAAAATAAAAAATGTGACCATTTTTTTAAAAGTATATATTTTTATGGATTTCAGAGAGGAAGGGAAAGGGAGAGAGAGATAGAAACATCAATGATGAGAAAGAATCATTGATTGGCTGCCTCCTGTAAGTCCCACACTGGGGATCGAGCCCAAAACCTGGGCATGTGCCCTGACAAGAAATCGAACCCTGATCTCCTGGTTCATAGGTTGATGCTCAACCACTGAGCCACACCACTTGGGCGAAAGTAACAATTTTTGATGCATCAACCACTTTTTAAAAATAACTAAATTAAATAAATATTTATTTAAATGTAGTCTTCTGTGGAAAACAAAATTCCCACTATAGTCTTAGTCAAAGAAGAAAGAGAATGGGCAAATTTATTTCTTTAACATGGCTTTAGTACTTATCTACAATTGTATCTTCTCCTAAACTAATCTTCACTTCTAATCTCTAAATGGAAAGTTAAAGCAAACAAACAAAAGCCAACCTCAGAAACCCTGGTTTTGAATATACTCCAGAGAGATGTCAGTAATTTGAAGCCAACAGGTAGAAGGAACAATTATGACGTGGACATAAAGTTGATACTTCATAAAAGAATGATCAAGAGGGAGACATGTCATTCTATATACCAAAGACCTAGAAACTAGGTGATCTGCAATCGAGGGCCAAGGAATCAGTAGTCTATCTTACTTGAGAGCAAGCAGAAAGTACTGGAGAAGTGGAGGAGGATCATAAAACAAAACAGGATAACTAGATCTTGGAGATAGAATAATTAGTCATGATCATATGAGAAGCAAAACAGAATGTTTCTAGGAAAAAGGTAATTTATTTAAAACTCACTTTTATACTGTCAAGTTTCCTGCCTGTATAAAAAGTCACCTCACCATCTAGAACCAGAGGAACGGCCCTGAGAACATCTGTTCTCTTAGTAGGGTCTCCTCCTGCTGCTTTCAGATACTAATCTAGTTATGCTGATAAAAAGCACACATCTTCATAGAACATACTCAGTGTGGTTTTGCCATGATGATCTGTCCAATTCAATTGTATCAGATTAAGTGGAAGTACATGGAGCAAGGTAACAAGTGGTAGCCGAAATTGGAGATGTGTGTATTTGCTGCCAATGGACAGATGAGGGATGAAAAGTTTAATCAAGGATTAAGGAGAGTGCTATTACAACTAATAACTAACAAGAGCTGGACTTGATTACTTTGCTAGTAATAGAGGAAACAGCAGAGGTACTTGCCCAGAGTTTAGGAATAGTAAACCACAAAACTAGGAATGATCAGAGGACTTTTCAACAGGAAGTCAATTAGTATCTGTGGTCAGAGAAAATGTCATGAGAAGCTGTGCAACTAAAACCATAGGAGGTCATACTGTGTTAGACAGAAAATGTGAGATTGATTGGTAGATATTATACCGGGGGGGAGGGGGAGATGGTGTCCATTTGATCAACACATCCATTGTGACTCTGTAATGGCAAAAGGCCTAATAAAAAGTCTATGGAGCCCCGCTGGTGTGGCTCAGTTGGTTAAGTGTTATCCCATGCACCAAGAGGTTGCTGGTTCGATTCCCAGTCAGGGCAGATATGATATGATATGATATGATATGAGTACCAGAAAGCATAAAGATGCTTTTCGCAAATTCTAATACAAATAAGCTCCACTAATAAAATAATAAGTTTGTAGATATTTATGACTGATTGTCAATTTATTATTATAGGCCCCTAGTTACAGACACCATTTATCAGTAGTAGAAAGAATTCTATCCAGCTAAGGCCAGAGTAGCTCTCAGCCGGTTGGGCATCCTCTCATGCACCGAAAGGTGGCCAGTGCAATTCCCAGTCAGGGCACATGCCTGGGTTGTGGGTTCGATCTTTGGTTGGGGCACGTGCAGAAGACAGGCAAATGATGTTTCTCTCTCACATCAATATTTTTCTCTCCTTTCCTCTCTCTAAGCATGCCGTCAGGTGAGGATTAAAAAATATTCTATCCGGATATTAAATTTATTTTATTGTTGAAAGTATATCTGAATTCTGTGGGATGAACTATGTTTATAGTTCATCAGAAAGCTAGGAAGTAAAGTGATCATTAAATATGAATGCATAAAATGACCCTAAAATCTTCAAAAGTGCAATGTTAAAAGACATTATGAAGATCTAATGCAGTATTAAATGTAGCCTTACCTTATTTGAAAAAGCAGCTTTCTACTTTTTTTCTTACTTGTATCATTATTAGATCACAGAGTCCCTGGCCCTCAAGTTCATAAACAACTACAAAAACTCAAACAACCCAGGAATCAGTAGTAGAGAATAATGGTTTTAATGTTTAATAGGTTTAACAAAACAAGGGAACAATTTTCCATCATATTTCCCTAGTAAGCAAATGGATACCATTTTGTTTTTATTTTTTAAAATATATTTTTATTGATTTCAGAGAGGAAGAGATAGGGAGAGAGAGATAGAAACATCAATGAGGAGAGAGAATCACTGATCGGCTGCCTCCTGCACTCTCCACACTGGGGATCGAGCCTGCAACCCGGGCATGTGCCCTTGACCGGAATCGAACCAGGGACCCCCTCAGTCCGCAGGCCGACACTCTATCCACTGAGCCAAACTGGCTAGGGCTTGATACCATTTTGGAGGAACCCCTTCCTAAGTTTTATTAAATGTTCCGTTAGGGCTTCTAGTTCTACAGCAACAGCCAAAGAAGTGTAGATTTTATTGAAAATCCAGTTAATTAGTTGCTAGATCAATGAGGAGGGAAAAGTGTCTCTGACTCTTCTAAGCAATGTACTCACTGGGTACTCTGCCAGAAGTAAAGCAGTGTCTTATTTAAAGACTGTTAGGATTGCAATTATAGTTCTTTTTTTTTTTAAACTGTATTGTTGAGAGTATTACAGATGTCCCTCTCCTCCCCTCACCTCCCCCTTCCACCAGGTTCCCGCCCCACCCCAGGTCCAATAGGAATGTAGGAAATAGGATGGAGAGGATTATAATGGCGGCATAAATAAATAGCACAAAGGCCCATAAGACCCCTGGAAAACACAAGATTTACATCATATTAAAATGGAGTTAATTCACCAAATGTAATGCATGGTCCTTGATGAGAGCCTGGTTTGAACAAATCGACCATAAAACTACATGGGGACAAATGGGAAATCTGAATATGGACTGGGTATTAGATTATATTAAAAATTATAGTTAATTTTGTTAGATGAAACAATGGTACTGTGATTTATCTGAATGGAAATGTTCTTGTTTAAATATGTATATTGAAATATAAGCAAAAAGATGAAAATAGTATCATGTCAAAATTGTTTAAAAAGATGAGTATAACAGGCACACATTAAATTAGTCTTGTTATTTTTCCGTAAGTTTGTAATTTTTCATAAAAACAAAACAAAACAAAACTCAAAAAACAGTGTTCCTAGGAGACATATGTAATACTTTTTGAAATACTTTAAGCAATAAAACAAAATTTAAAAAAACAAACAAAAAACAGTGTTACTATTTCAGCTTGGCTGTCAATACAGTAAACAGTGGCATTTCCCCGAGTGACTGGCCACCAGGATAGTTGTTCCCACTTATCCCTTCTATATAAATAAGATCACCTTAATGAAGGATAGTATTTTACTTGCTCTATACAATATTTATAAATTTGGACAATATCAGCATGTTCATAATACCATCATGTCCCTGAATTTCTTTGCTCTTCTACTCTTTGTTGCACCCACTTACAAAGTCCCAAATCTAGAATAACAAACTAGCCACCTTCTCCATGAATGTATTCTGACAGATACTCCTGCAAAAAAATTACACAAGTAATAATTACCATTCCCAACAATGTCTGGTGATTCTTCTTAATTTCTCTCGTTACAGCTTTCTCCCACATGCTATAAAGACTACTTCAAACTTTCCTTCTATGAAACCAAACCGTCCCACTCAGTCTCAGTAAATGATCTTGCCTTCCACATAACAAACAAAAGCATTCACAGTAACTTCCTCTACTTCCTGCCACCAATTCTGTAAATCTCACTGTAGCTATACTCATAGTCTATTTTTCCTCTCCTTTACAATGAAGACGTCTTTTTTTTTTTAAATTGATTTCAGAGAGGAAGGGAGAGGGAGATATAGATAGAAACATCAATGATGTGAGAGAATCACTGATCGACTGCCTCCTGCATGCCCCACACTGGGGATTGAGCCCGAAACCTGAGCATGTGCCCTTGACTGGAATCGAATGTGGGACCCTCCAGTGTGCAGGCCGACGCTCTATCTACTGAGTCAAACCAGCCAGGGGTGAAGAGGTCTTTTTAAAAACAAAGGTCTTGCCGAAACCGGTTTGGCTCAGTGGATAGAGCGTCGGCCTGCAGACTGAAAGGCCCCAGGTTCGATTCCGGTCAAGGGCATGTACCTGGGTTGCGGGCACATCCCCAGTAGGAGATGTGCAGGAGGCAGCTGATCGATGTTTCTCTCTCATCGATGTTTCTAACTCTCTATCTCTCTCTCTTCCTCTCTGTAAAAAATCAATAAAATATATTTTTAAAAAATAAAAATAAAAACAAGGGTCAATCTCCTTCACCTGTGAACATTCCTATCCTTTTGCACTCTCTTAGGAGCCTCCCAACATCAAATACCCCTCTCCTAAATCCTTATCCTTTCTCTATTGAGTCAGTCTATATTTAAACATGATTAAGTCTCTCATATTAAAAAATAAAAAACACCCCCTGGATTCCAATACAACTATGAGCCATTATGTCTCTCCCCACTCCCGAACTGTTTCAAATAGGTGCTTAATCTGTTTCTAGTTTCTGACATCCCAAGCATTTATTAACCAATTCAAATTGAGTTTTTCCTGCTGCCACCATTCTCTAAGATACCAATGAAATCCATATCGTTAATGGACTCTTCTCCAGTATTCTCTCACCACCATTTAATAACTGAGATCTCCATTCTTCTTGATACACTATCTCCCTTTTGGCTTACATGATGCTATATTCTTTAGATTTTCCTTTTATTTTTTTCTTTCTCAGTCTCCTTTGCTAGTTCATACTCCTCTAGCTAATCCTTAAATGTTGGCACTCCTCAAATCTGTCCAAGGCCCTCTCTTTTAGTCTCATGCCATATTTTTCTTGTAAATCTCCTCCTATGCCAAAATTACTATTTGTACACAAAAATTATTCCAGTCTTGAACCATTTTCCCAACATTTCCACTTGAAGCAATGCCTCAGATGCCTCTGAAGTAACAATTAAATAGCTAATCCAGTGATGGCGAACCTTTTGAGCTCGGCGTGTCAGCATTTTGAAAAACCCTAACTTAACTCTGGTGCCATGTCACATATAGAAATTTTTTGATATTTGCAACCATAGTAAAACAAAGATTTATATTTTTGATATTTATTTTATATATTTAAATGCCATTTAACAAAGAAAAATCAACCAAAAAAATGAGTTCGCATGTCACCTCTGACACGCATGTCATAGGTCCGCCATCACTGAGCTAATCCATTCTATCCTAAAAAAGTATTTAATAATTACCTTCATAATTTGATGGTTAAGGAATATTATGCTAAATTTTTTTATTTTGAAGTAGATAAGACATTTATAAATCAAGTTCCTTTAATTTCAATTAACAAACAGTTATTTCTATATCTTACCTTGTATTTGGTCATGGTACTAAAATGATTATTCCGAAAGAACACACAAAGTTCTCCTTCCTGAACTGTTGAAGTTAGTTCACATAATCCATGGTATGTCAGTTGAGTGGCTGTGTTATTTAGAAACTGCTCAGCTACAAAGCCTGTGGAACCAATGCACAATATTAGATGGAAGAATAATTTCAAAATTAAAAAAGTTTTTCTATTTACATTGTGTTAAAGTATGAAGAAAGGCCAGTCAGAATAAAACTTCTCCTACAATAACATGATGGCCCCAAATTGGAGATTCTACCTTTTTATTTTAGAAGATTTGTCTATAGACATCGCCATCCTAAAGAAGAGGTCACATGAAATTCTTTTTATTAATTAATGTATTTATATATACTTTACCTACTTCCAAAAAGGATTTCAGGCACCTTGCAACAAAACACATAGATACAGTAAAACTAAAACTCACTAAAACAAAAAGGCAAGAGTTAGCAATTTAAAAAGTGCATAGGAGCCTGGCCAGCGTGGCTCAGTGGTTGAGCATTGACCTATGAACCAAGAGGTCACGGTTCGATTCCCGGTCAGGGCACATGCCCGGGTTGCAGGCTCGATCCCCAGTGTGAGGCGTGCAGGAGGCAGCCAATCAATGACTCTCTTTTATCATTGATGTTTCTATCCCTCTCTCTGAAATCAATAAAAAAAATGTTTTTAATAAAGTGCATAGGAGTAAAATATGTATGTCAACAGCTCCTTCCCCAATAATAGGTTTTTCAAAATTAAAAGTAGTCTTAACAAATTGAGTTGCTTAAGATTTTAATAAAGGTCCCAGATAATTTGAAATTCACAAACTGCTCAATTCTTGCCTTAAAACTAAAAGTAGGCATAAAAATGAAGAGAAAACAGTGGATAACTGATGCCATTTTATCCTAATCTCCTCCAACATATGCCACTCTATATCTATCTATCTATCTATCTATCTATCTATCTATCTATCTATCTATCTATCCATCCATCTATATCAAGTTCAGAAATAGAAGTGATCTTTTGTTTTCAAAACATAATGAAATACACAAGTTTTCTGCGATTTAATTTAAAAGACATGTATAGTTGAGCCTTGCTAATGACCAAATTTGCCTACTAGCTAAAATTTATTAACTCCAAAATCAATACTTGCTGTGCACTTTCAGGGTCATTCCTGGATATGTACAAAGCTGCAAAAAATTGAGTCACCAAAAAAAATAAAAATAAATAAAAAATTGAGTCACCAAACATGCACATTCCCCACTGAGATCAAACAAGGCAACACTAGGCCTTCTTTCAGCTCTCATACTGTGAACAAGTGTCCTTTTCACAGTCTATGGAGTGCCACATTCTTCACATTTTTGTGCTTTTGGTGGAGTGATTTTTACTGTGTACAATGGCCCCCAAGCGTGATGCTGGAGTGTTAACTGGTGCTCCTAAGTGCACAAGGTCTGTGATGTGCCTATGGAGAATACACAAATTTTTATAGCTTTGTCCAGGTGAGTTATAGTGCTGTTTGCCATGCATTTAATGTTACTGAATCAACCATATAGTATATTGAATAAGATGTCTCTAAACAGAAATGCACATAAAACAAGGTTATATATTTATCAGTTGATGAAAAGCTTGTGACTAAAGGCTCACAGGAACCTAATCTTGTGTTTCCCGTAGGAGCACTGGTTTAGTATTCACTAATTCAGTGTTCATAGCAACTTTATAGAACAGCGATTTTCAACTGGTGTGCTCAAGAATTTTTAAAACATGCAATACCTGCCCTGGCCAGTGTCGCTCAGCAGTTAGAGTGTCGGCCCGTGCAAGAGTCGCTGGCTTGATTGCCAGGCAAGGGCAGGTACCTGGGTTGCCCCCCGGTCGGGGCACATGCTGGAGGCATGTGTGTCTCTCTCACATCGATGTTTCTCTTTCTCTCTATGTCTTTCTCTCTCTCTCCCCTCCTTCCTCCCTCCCTTCCACTCTCTTTGAAAAAAAAAAAGAAAAAGGACAATGGAAAAAATATCCTCAGGTGAGGATTAACAAAAACAAAACAAAACAAAAACATGCAATACCTGACTATTTAATCAGGGGCACTGACCTCTTTTCCCTTAGATTGTCAAGTAAAAAAATGATAACAGCCAACACAAAAGCCGTCCAGTATGAATGAATGAAAATTATATCAGATTGGCAAAAAATATATTTTTGGTGTGCCACAGAATTTTAGCAATTAGTTTATATGTGCCATGAGATGAAAAAGATTGAAATTCGCTGTTACAGAATGTAACTACTGGGAATAATGAAAATCAACTGTATATATATTTTAAAAGCCTGTATTTCTCTTCTTCTGATCTTTCTCTTCTTCCTTTTGTTCCCTTTCTGAAGAAGAAAAGTCTCAGAAACAATAGGGGGGAAGAGAGTGCTCTAAAACAGCGGTCGCCAACCTTTCGGATCTCACGGACCACCAGTGGCACCCGGACCACTGGTTGGCGACCGCTGCTCTAAAAAGTTTCATAAGTGAGCAGAGAGGTGCAAATACAGGGTGTTAATAAACTGACACCTCAACAAGAAATTGAAAATAAACTTGGAAGGGCCAAGGCAGCTGGAGAGTATAGGTTTATTCCACTTACTCTCAATCCCTCACCCTTATTATCAAGCCACAAAGCTGCAAAGTGGTTGTAAAATGTTATCCATATATCACACTATTCCAAAGAATTGTGGAAGGCAGGCGGGGAAATGCAAAATTGTTATATAGAAGGCCACAGCCAAAGGAAAGTTATAGCACATTTGCAACTTCTGAGGTTTATACATTTAGAAATAGTCACCTCCCTCAATTACTATTATTACTTTGCTAAGTACTAAATTACTGAGTAGAATGGGTGTGTTATATACTAAAGCACTTAATATTATATAGCATTTTAAAAGTAAGTAGATGCCTGTGCTGAGAGGTACCACTGCTGCATTACCAAACCCTTCCTTCAGAAAGATGTTTCTAAATGGGCCTCCCACAACTCACTCACCCAATATGCATCTACAAATCCTTCAAGAAGACACAAAAATTCAATGGAAATACAGCACATTCTCTCTGAAAAATTCAACACTAGGAAGGTCTTTCTTGACTTCTTTCTATAGAACAGGACAGAGGCTCAGAGAGAATGACTTTCTCAAGGACAAAATTACTTATGGGAAAGACTGAAACCCAGGAGAATTGTTGGTATTAAGTTTAAATATTTAGTGCTTATGTCCTGGCTGGTGTGGCTCAGTTAATTGGGCATCGTCCCATGCACCAAAAGTACACATACCCGGTTGCAGGTTTGATCCCAGTCAGGGTGCATGTGGAGGCAACCAATCGGTATTACTCTCTCACATCAATGGTTCTTTCTCTCTCTCTCCCCTTCTCTTTCAAAATAATACTAATACTAATACGAATAATAATAATAAATAATTTAGTGCTTATTATTATAAGTGCAAACTGAATTGTATTTCTTCCCAAACCATAAAGCAGGGTAATGTGGGCATACAGAGAGCAATGTTTCCTAATTCTTCTACCAACTCTTAAACAGTGACACACTGTGATTTTAGTGGGATATTAAAAAACCTAATCTAGTTTCAACTTTTCATAACTAATTAAACAAATTTTGGCAAACAATTCTAAGCATTACATAGCAGTTTATTTATCTGCATTGCTTCAAATGACAAATAGTTTATTTGCAATATTTAGATTAAATTTCAATTTTTTTATTAATGATAATAAAGTAGGGTGAAAATTAATATAATGATAACAATAAGATAATATCACTGAAAATAAATTTAAATTAGAAATTATTTTCCTGAGAGGGGTCGGGAAGGGTTGCCATGGTGCGTGCCTGGGCCGCTGGCCATGTGACTAGGCCTTCTAGGGTGGGTGCTGCTATTCGCAGTGACTCCAGAGCAGCCTCACTTTGTTGGTCTGAAGATAACCCTGGGAGCTGAGGAAGTTGCATAGAAGTTCCCCTGGGGATGCTCTGGGGAAGACTGGCTGCCAAGGCAGCTCCAATGCAAAGGTCGCCATGGATCAGAACAATAGCGTGCCACCCTATACCAAGTCCTGGCCTCCCCTCAGGGCACATGACTCCCGGAATCCCTAGCTTTAGCCCAATGATGCCGTATGGCACAGGGCTGACTCCACAGCCCATTCAGAACACCAACAGTCTGTCCATTCTGGAGGAGCAGCAAGGGCAGCAGCAGCAGTCAAAGGCCCAGCAGGTGAATCAGGAGCCTCAGGACAGACATTCAGCTCTTCCACTCACAGACTCTAACGACTGCAGCCATGCCGGGCACCACGACCCTGTACCCTTCACCCCTAACCCCCACCACACAGCCCTCTGAGAGCTCGGAGATCATGCCACAGCTGCAAAATACTGTATCCACAGTGAATCTTGGTTGTAAACTTGACCTAAAGACCATTGCACTTCATGCCTGAAATACTGCATATAATTCCAAGTGGTTTGCTACTGTGATCATGAGAATAAGGGAGCCCCGGACCACAGCCCTGATCTTCAATTCTGGGAAGATGGTGGGCACCGGTGCCAGGAATGAAGACCGGTCCAGACTAGCAGGAAGAAAGTATGCCAGAGTTGTACAGAGTTGGGTTTCCCAGCCAAGTTTTTAGACTTCAAGATACAGAACATGGTGTGGAGTTGCAATGTGAAGTTCCCCACAAGGTTAGAAGGCCTCATGCTGACCCACCAACAGTTCAGTAGTTATGAGCCAGAGTTATTTCCTGGTTTAATCTACAGGATGATCAAACCCAGAATTGTTCTCCTTATTTTTGTTTTGGGAAAAGTTGTATTAACAGGTGCTAAAGTCAGAGCAGAAGTTTATGAAGCCTTTGAAAACATCTACTCTATCCTCACGGACTTCAAGAAGACAATGTAATGGCTGTTTTGCCCTCCCACCCTCTAGTTTTAAAAACTCATCAATTCTGGTACATTTAAGTGGTGGTGTTGAGGGTAGCCTGGGTCTGTGTGGACTGCAGCCTGCACATGCGCCTGTCTTACTGTAATGGCTGCACTGTGTTGACAGTCTACTTTGATTTTAGATTTAGATTTTAAACTCTTACTGCTGTTGACAAATTGGTTTAAGAAACAAAACTTCGGTGTTAAAGCCACCTCTACAATTGACTGGACTTTTAATTTTGTTTGCTTTTTTCCTCCTAAACCACAGGTTTTATATTTCTACCAGAAAAGTAAAAATGTTTTTTAAAACTGTTGTTTTTCTAATTTGTAAGTCCAGAATTTATTTTTGTGCCAGACACATTCCTCCTTCTCAGGACTGCAGGAAAGAACAGATGTATTAATGAACATGAACGGCTGTAAATATTTCTCTTCTCAGTACTCTGTACAATAAATGCTGTTTATAAAAGTGTTAGGTTGATGTTATAAATGATGACTTGTAAGATTTATGTGATCATACTGTTTTTAAATAAGCCAAGTTTCCTTTTACCTTATTACCTCTTTTTGTTCCTTTTTGCCTAATTTTAGTGTCCCTCTTTTTAACTTCACATCCTTTAAGGCACTCAGTACTTTCATCTTCTCTAATAGCTCTTTAGTAATAAAGGAAAATCATTTGATAAACTAATTTAGTATTGAATTTCCGAAACTAAGAGATATTTTCAAACACTAATGTCAGAAAAATAATTTTTTTGTGTGGGTTCAGGCATTATATCTAAAATATAATCACCTTTTGGATATTTTATTGATTCAAAAGGAAAATTACACTTGTAGGCTAAATAGAAAAGAGAGCAAACTACTACTTCAGTTGAAAACTATACTCAAGAAAATATGATGAAGAAAATGACGGAGGGAAGCTAACTGCTACATTATAAGTAAAAATGTCCATTGTGGCCTCTTCTTTTATATATGACTACAGGCCCAATGCACGAAAGACTGCAGCGGGCCTAAGCTGCAGTCTGGCCTCCCTCTGTGGGAGGAGACCAGGCTGATCAGGGGAAAGCACCGTCCCATTCACCCTGCTGCTGCTGTCACTGCCAGCCGCGGCGGTTGTAAGGCCTGAGCCCTGGGCCTCGCAGCTGCCTGAGCACACAGGAGATGTTTCTCCTCACAGCTAACTGAGCCCATGGCTGCCTAAGCCCACAGCTGCTATGAGCCCCAGGCCTCGCAGCCACCAGGGCTCAAGGCTGCGGTGAGCCCCAGGCCTCACAGCCACTGTGGCTTTGTCTGGATGGACGTTTGCCCTAATTAGCATATTACTCTTATTAGTATAGATTTCTTAGTGTCTTATACAAGTAACCATTGGAGTTAAACAATTATTTCAAGTGGACTACACACTTGTAGTTTCTTATAAAAAAAAAAACTAGTTTAGTTTTTTAATTATAGTGAATTCTATATATAATTATTCCTTGATACGGGAATCTGATATGCACAATTTCATCACTACAAAATGTATATGTCAATAATTTAATCAATTCTGGTATATATTACCCAAAAATTCTATACCATTAAAGAAGATAATTCCTTCCTTGTTGTTAACAAGATTTCTTCTCAAGTTATCAATACAATATAAGTTAGCTATTGGTTTTCATTATCCTGGGAAATCAATGTCAGAGAATTAATAATAATAATAGCAACATCAGGTTGAGAAAAAGGAGAAGTGAAAAAGGTACTGGGGCTTTTGTTGTTGTTGTGCATTTGTTGTGTATAGAGCTTGGGTAAGTTCTAGTGAGAGAAAATATTTGGTTTTTTTAAAATGTTTTAATGTCATTTATCAATCTGTTTTCTTTTTAAAAAAATATATTTTGATTTTTTTTTTACAGAGAGGAAGGGAGAGGGACAGAGAGTTAGAAACACTGATGAGAGAGAAACATTGGTCAACTGCCTCCTGCACACTCCCCACTGGGGATGTGCCCGCAACCAAGGTACATGCCCTTGACCGGAATCGAACCTGGGACCCTTCAGTCTATAGGCCAATGCTCTATCCACTGAGCCAAATGGTTAGGGCTATCGATCTGTCTTCTGTGTCTTTCTTTTTTTTTTTTAATCCTCACCTGAGGATATTTTTCCATTGAATTTTAGAGAGAGTGGAAGAGAGAGGGAAAGACAGAGAGAAATATAGATGTGAGAGAAACACATTGACTGGTTGCCTCCTGCACAGGCCTGGGCCAGGGAGGAACCTGCAACCGAGGTATGTGCCCTTGACCAGAATTGAACCCGGGACCTTTCAGTCCACAGGCCAACGCTCTACCCATTGAACCAAACCAGCTAGAGCTAGAGAAAATATTTTTAACAAATGTTTTATTGCTTCTCTGCCCTCTAAAATTTAAACTTTGCTGCCTTAGGTTGTAGTGAAAGAGCTGTTATACAGAACAATGATTAATATCCTTGTATATTTATTTATGTGTTTAAGGCAAGTAGAAGACTAAGATAAGCCTCAATTAAAATATTGTGTGTTTTCTTGCTACTTGCCTCTTGCTAAACTTGGATAATGGAGTAATAAAATTAGTTGGGTTCTGATTAATCAATATGGTATGGGATTCATGTACGTGTCTTCTTTTATATGTTCTCATATACTCTTGTAGTAACTTAGTTTTTATTTTTTTAAAAATGATAATAGTAATATATATTATAATAATATATAATGTATACCACATGTAAAAGAATTGTGTGTCTAAGAAAAATGAAGCTCACTCCCTACTTATGATTTCTCTTCCTTTTATTTACCCTACAAACAGAGAATAGCAACCTCAGTATTTGAACATATTTATGAAAAAGTGAAGTGGATGATGGGGAAGGTATATCCAAATGCTATGGCTCCTGACAGCATTCTTCTCCTTTCCTTCACTGACTGAAACACAGCTGAAAAATATGAAATTGCTTCTATGGCGATGAATTTAGCAATTTTAATTAGTTAAGGATTAGGATAACTGAATGATCAAAGGTATACTTTGATTAAAAATGGAGCTTTAGCCCTAGCTGGTTTGGCTCAGTGGATAGAGCACTGGCCTGCAGAATAAAAGGTCCCGGGTTCGATTCCAATTAAGGGCACATGCCCCAGTTGAGGGCTTGATACCCAGTGGGGGGCATGCAGGAGGCAGACGATCAATGATTCTCTCTCATCATGGATGCTTCTATCTCTCTCTCCCTCTCCCTTCCTCTCTAAAATCAATAAAAAATATATTTAAAAAAAGAATGGAGCTTTACTATACTATGTTATACTGAACATAAGGCAGAGCCCTACTAAAATGAACACTGAGTACCATGATACTCTTCTCAGTCAACTGAAGTATCCAGAATGAATTATAAAGTTCATGTAGTACTCCCAAATAATAATAATTTTTTTAAAAAGCAATTATCAGTTACCCCTGATAATTTACCGTATCAAAGCTAACAAGAGAGCCCTAGTCGGTTTGGCTCAGTGGATAGAGCATCAGCTTGCAGACCAAAGGGTCCCGGGTTTGATTCCAGTCACGGGCATGTACCTTAGTTGCAGGATCCTCCATGGCCCGGGCAGGAAGCGACCAATCGATGTGTTTCTCTCACATCGATATTTCTCTCTTGTCTTTTCCTCTCTCTAAGAAATCAATGGAAAAATATCCTCCAGTGAGGATTTAAAAAAGCTAACTAGAAATTCTAAAGACCTTTATTAAAATCCAGGCCTCATTGTACAAGTCAAGTGAAAAGGTTTCTAGGAAAAACCTTTCACTGGCACCTTTATGAAAAATTACTTAATTCCTATAAAAGTGGCAACACTTCTGTTTTAAGACATTTGAAAGATCTTAAATTATCAGACAATTCATTTTGCCAAGAATAAGTCAGGTAATAGCAGCACTCACCCACCTTCACTAACCAGCTCACTATTGTCTGACTGCTTACAAGAGATGATCTTCTCCACTAGTTGGTTGTAGCTGCAGTTACCAACAGCTTTTACAATGTCATCAACCTAGAAAACAAATGACTGTCTTACTAATCATGATAAGATTAAAAACAATAACAAAGAAACCAATATCACTCTTTAGGGTTTTATTCTAATACAATACTAAAGATACAGATATTATTTATGAAAAAAATCAACACTAAAATTAACACCCAACTGTTTTCAGTTTTGTTTACAGCTATATTATAAAAAATATTTTTTTAAAAAAGGAAAATAGTGCTCACTTGTATGTTAATTATGCAAAAAATAATTAAATGGGTTTATTACATGCAACTTTATTTCCTAAGGTTGTAAAGATGCATTTAAGTGATTAAAATAAAAAATAAACCATTTAAGGAGGAAAAATAAGAAAAGCTCAGTTTTTTTCCTTTCTGAAATACAAATATTTTGCATTTAAAGCAAGGCGAATATAAGGATGCTAATTTATGAGATTAAAGTTTTCCCATTTTATTTATTACTAGAGTGTGTGTGTGTGTGGGGGGGGGGGGGTTCCTCAGCCTGGCCGGCGCCCTTTCACAGTCCAGGAGCCCTCAGGGGATGTCCAACTGATGGCTTAGGCCCGCTGGCAGTCAGACATCCTTAGCACTGCTGCGGAGGCAGGAGAGATTCCTGCCACGGCCGTGCGCTCACCAGCTGTGAGCCCAGTTTCTGGCTGAGCAGCGCTCGCCCTGTGTGAGTGCACTGACCACCAGAGGGCAGCTCCTATGTTGAGCATCTACTCCCTTGTAGTCAGTGCGCGTCATAGCAACTGGTCATTCCGCTGTTCGGTAAATTTGCATATTAGTCTCTTATTATATAGGATTTACTTCCTAGCCAAGTATAGTGAAAATGAGTATACACAACTAACTTTATTTTCCTGAAGAAAAGTTAATGTATATTAATCAGGGACATTTTTTGCCTAATGATTCTTATTTAATATTTGTCTTTGGAGGTTCACTAGAAAAGTGAATTCAATGTTTTAAGTTATAGGAATATAAAATTGGGCATCTCTACTCTCTCTCCATTATACTTTGTTTTGATTATTGAAGAAAAATAGATTTCTGCTGTCTCAACAACTTATTTTGTTTGCCCTCCCATCCCTAAAATATCTTTATAAATGATTTACATGTACTACTATATTAATATAATTTATCCATAATAAAACAAGTACAAATTAATACAATAATATAAAAAATAAGAGGGCCGATATTTTCTTTCAACATCCAAATGATCTTCTTGAATACTTACTCTTTGCACTGGAAGGTTACAGATTTGATTCCGATCAAGGCACATACCTAGGTTGTGGTTTGATCCCAGGTCGGGGCTCATGCGAGAGGCAACCAGTTGATGTATCTCTCTCAAATGGATGTTTTTTTCTCTCCTCCACCTCATCCTCCCTCTCTAAAATTAATTTTTAAAAAAGATTTAAAAGAATTCCAGGCTCAAGTTGCTTCTCAATTGTCTAGGTTTTATTCCACTGCTGAATAGCAAAATTTGAGAACAACTGCTCTGCTCTAGGCTATAATTTATTTCTTTTAGTCTGGTGCACGAGGTCCCTAGGCCTGGCCTGTGCGATTGGGCTGAAACTGGCTCTCTGACATCCCCTGAGGGGTCCTGGATTGCGAGAGGGCGCAGGCCACAGGTCGAGGACCCCACCGGTGCACAATCAGGGCCGGGGAGGGATCCGGGAGGTTGGCCAGCCAGGGAAGGACCAGGGGAGGGCTCCAGGGCATGTCCAGCCCATCTCGCTCAGTCCCAATCGGCTGGACCCCAGCAGCAAGCTAATCTACCAGTCAGAGCTTTTTGCCCCCTAGTGGTCAGTGCACATCATAGCAAGTGGTTGAGCAGCCTTAGCATATCATTAGCATATTATGCTTTGATTGATTGAACGGACGGCCAAACACTTAGCATATTAGGCTTTCATTACATAGGATTCCTGCAAAATTTTACCATGTTTTATAAAAGCCTCTTAACCATGCAAGTGGAACTGATGGTTGGTTGAGAAGACCAGTAAATTGAAAAAGTCAAAGCAGTGAATTATGGAAAATGTTACATACATATCTAAAACATTTCATATTAACTAAAAGCACATAAATGTATTTACTTGTCAATCTTTCGATGCAGAGTAAAATAAGGTTTTTCTTTGAAAAAGGATCTTTTGGCTACGAGTCTATGTAAACCACACAAAAGAGTATGACTTCCAGCTTTGATACATTTAAAATGAAAACTTAAACCCTTAAGAAGCAAATGGAGGGCACAGTTCTTTTAGATTTTCATTCTTTTTCTTTTTTTAAACACACACACATGTGTGTGTGTGTGTGTGTGTATTATTGATTTAAGAGAGGAAGGAAGGGAGAGGGAAAAAGAGATAGAAACATCAATGATGAGAGAGAATATCAGCTGCCTCCTGCACGCCCCACACTGGGGATCGAGTCCACCACCCGGGCATGTGCTCTTAACTGGAATCGAACCTGGGACCCTTCAGTCTGCAGGCCGACACTCTATCAACTGAGCCAAACCAGCTAGAGCTTCAGTCTTTTTCTTAACACTTACACTGTTTAGAGCATTTCTTTAGTGAGTCAACTTCGTTGTCTTTCCAAAGAACCTGAATTTTCAACCCTAAGGAATCCACTAAAATACAACTAGAATAACAAATACCAGATCAATGTGCAAAAATCAATTTTACTTCTATATACTAACAATGAACAATACAAAATTTCAAGTTTTCATAGGCTGAATCTCTGTATTAATATTTCATTCAATTAATTCATTTGGGTGCCTTTTATACACTACTATATACTAGGTGCTGTTAGAGAAATTACAGATGCAGCAGAGAACAAAACAAATGTTTTATGCTTTCATGAAGTTTATATTCTGGAACAAACACAAACAATAAACCAAATAATCAAAAACATAATATGCTAGGTAGTTGTATGCAACTGTTCTTTTTCATTGTTCTATAATATTTCATCTTTTGACAGCTACCTAAGTTGTTTTCAGTTGGGGCTACAACAAGTAATACTGTTATGAATATTCTTGTACACCTATCTTGTCCCACATATCAAGAATTTCTCTAGGATACGCATTGTCAAATTTCTGAATATTAGGATATCCTTACCCTCACCTTTACTAGATAACTTCAAACTGCTTTCCAAGGTACACAGCCAATTCACATTCTCTTCAGCAGGAAATGAGAATACAATGCACATCTTCTCCAACATTTAGTATTGTCAGACTTTTAGATGTTAGCCATCCTGATGTGTGCAGAGTGGTATCTCATTTTGGTTTTAATTTGCATTTCCTGGATGGCTAGTTCATATGTTCACTGGCCACTTGCATATCCATTCTTGTGAAGTGCCTATTCAAATCATTAGCTCCTTTTTTTACTGGATGGCCTACCATTTAAAAAAGTACCTGTAGGAGCACTTTTTATACTTTCTGGATATTCATCCTAATGTAAGTTGTGATCATCTTCTACTCTGTGGCTTACGTTTACATTCTCTTTGGAATTTCTTCTAATGTAGTCATGTTCCACCTATGTTCTTCATAGTTAATACATTTGTGTCTTGTTTTAGAACCTTTTCTTATCATTAAGGTTAAAAACATATTCTCAAACTTATATAATTTTATTTTTTACAGTTAAAAGATAAGTGCACATGGAATAGAATTTTATCGTGTGATTTGGGGGAAACAACTTCATTTTTTTCTAATTGGCTATCTAATTAGAAATTTGAATTGGCTATCTAACTGGCTATTTTTTTTCCTGGTTTGCATAATTTCTTTATTTAAATTCTTATGCAAGTCTTAACTTGGATTAGAATGGCTAACTATTTACATATCTAATTGTCTTAGCACCTTTTATTGAAAGGACTACCTTTCCCCCATTACCTTACAGTGCCCTAATTCTGTCTATATATTCATAGTCTTTCTTAACTACAATCATTAAAATATTTTGTATCTGGAAGAGCAAGTCCTCCCTACTTGTTCTGCTTCAAGAATATCTTGGCTTTGCCCTAGCTGGTCAGGCTCAGTTGTTTGAGCATCGTCCATGCACCAAATGGTTGCTGGTTCAAATCTCTCTCAGGGCATCTGACCAGTTGTAGGCTTGATCCCCAGTAGGGGGTGTTCAGGAGGCAGTTGATCGATGTTTCTCTCTCACATTAATGTTTCTCTATCTTTCTGTCCCCCTTCCTTCCAATATCAATAAAAACATACTTTTTTATTTTTTAAAAGACTATCTTGGCTTCTATTCCTAGATCTTTTTATTTCCATATAAATTGTAGAATCAACTTTTCACATTCTAAAACTACTCCCACAATCTGCTGGGATTTTGTTTGGGATTGTATTAAAACTATAATTTACTTTAAAGAGAAATGGCATCTATATAAATTCAGTCTTGAAATCTAAATTTTCATGTGTGTAAAAAGTATGTATAGTCAGGTTCATAAAAAACAAGTAAAGCCTAGCTGGTATGGCCCTAATTGAGTTGGCCCCTAACTCCCTGAAGGGACGCTCAGAAGTCTTGGGCTTGGGCAGGTTTACCAGTCTGGAGGACTGCTTCCTTAACCTCTCAATTTGGCTCATTCCAGGTAAAAACAAAAATAAGTATCAGCCCTAGCCAGTTTGGCTCAATGGATAGAGCATCAGCCTGCGGACTGAAAGGTCCCAGGTTCGATTCCAATCAAGGGCACATGCCCCAGTTGAGGGCTCGATCCCCAGTGGGGGGCATGCAGGAGGCAGACGATCAATGATTCTCTCATCATTGATGTTTCTATCTCTCCCTCTCCCTTCCTCTCTGATTAAAAAAAAAAATAATGAAAATTTAAAAAAACTCCCTTAAAAAAAAAGTACCAAAAAATATAATCTAAATTAATTTGCCAAAGTAATAGCATTTTACTAAGTTTGTGTTTATATAATTTAAAATTTTCTACTTACCTGAGGGTCCACTAACCACCCATGGTATAAAGGAATATCAAGAAGATCAAATACTATGCATTCTGGTGTATATTCAAACACTCGAACACCAGTGAATTTTACATTTACATCCAAGCCTGTCTGTAGTTTGTGCAAGATTGCCATAGCATCACTCATATTCTGAAAACAGAAAAGGAAAGGGTAACAATAAGAAAAAGGAAACAGCAATAAAGATATTTACATGCAAGACATTTCCTTCTAATTTTCCATTTTTTATTTTTATTAAGTATGTACTATGTGCCGGACACCAATCTGAGTTCTAAATATATAATACTAGAGGCCTGGTGCACAAAAATTTGCAGTCCAGGACACCTTGGGGGATGTCCACCTGTCAACTTAGGCCCGCGCCCATTTGCAGTCCAGGACCCCTTGGGGGATGTCCACCTGTCAACTTAGGCCCACTCCCCGGGGGATCGTCCGACTGAAGGCTTAGGCATCTGCAGTCAGGGAGCCTCGGGGGATGTCGACTGAAGGCTTAGGCCCCAAGGGAGCTGTGATGAGGAAGTTGGGGTGACAGAGGAGCACGCTGTCCCGCCCCGCTGCCCTGGGTCCAGTCGCACACAGGACGCCTGGGCGGGCCAGTGGATTGCTGCTGCCCCGCCCAGCCGCCCCCGGGTCGGGTCGCACACGGGACGCCGCTGCCCCGGGTCGCAGATAGCAGGCCTGGTTGGCGGCAGGGCAGGCGGGATGGTGCTGTCCTGCCCTGCCTGCAGTATGCAAATTAGCCGCCATCTTTGTCGGCGGTTAATTTGCATATCGTGCTGATTAGCCTATGGGAGGCATAGCGAAGGTACGGTCAATTACCATGCTTGTCTATTATTAGATAGGATGATCTCACTCATATATGAAATCTAATGAATAAAATAAATCAGAGATGAACAAAATAGATCCAGAGACAGAGAAACATAGAACAGACTGTCAAATCTCAGAGGGAAAGTGGGGGTGGGTGGGTGGGTGGGAAGAGATCAACCAAAGAACTGGTAGGCATACATATGTATAACCCATGGACACAGACAATAATGTGGTGAAGGTCTAGGGTGGGGGTGGGGTGAGCTAGATAGGGTCAATGGGGAATAAAAGGGACATACTTTCAACAGTAAAGATTAAAAAACTATATATATATATACAGAACAAAATAGACAAAGTTTCTGATCTCATGCAACTAATGCTACTGTGAGAGACAAGTATATTCTATATTCATAAAAGGCTAAGTGACAGACCGTCCGTCTGTCCGACCAGCTGGTGCATATGATGTGCCCTGGCAGTTTAAAAATAAACGTTGACTCGTGCATGTGTGATACATATAAAGCTCTCACTGGCGCCAATTGCACGTGTTTTAATTTTAAAATACTACTAGAGGCCCGGTGCACAAAATTTATGCACAAGGGGGGGGGGGGGGTCCCCTCAGCCCAGCCTGCACCCTCTCCAATCCAGGACCCCTCAGGGGATGTCCTCTCACAATCCGGGACTACTGGCTCCTAACTGCTCACCTGCCTGCCTGATCGCCCCTACTGGACCTCTGCCAGCCTGATCACCCCTAACCGCCTCTGGCTGCTGGCCTAGTCACCCCCAAATGCCCCCCCGCCCCCGCTGGCCTGGTCACCCCACACAGCCTGCTGCTCAGTCGTTTTGTTGTCCCTCACTAACCCCCCTGCCGGCCTTGTCGCCCCACGCCTGTTTGGTCATTGTTCAGTTATGATGGCCCCTGGCTCTTTATATATATAGATATTATATATACTATTTTGACATGTAATTTTTTGCAGTAACGCAATTGCTGCATGAATCTTTCTTCTAATTAATTTCCTTTCAATGTTCATGAATCCGTGCACCGGGCCACTAGTAAATACATAATATAATATCAAGTATTAGTAAGAAAAATTGAGCAGGACAAGGATGTACAGAGTGACAGGGGTGAGGGACCGATTTTAGACCAGGAAGCCTAAAGACAAAAGTTTCTAGTCAAAAAAGGCCTCTTCTACTTTTAGGTATATATCCAAAACAATTGAAAGCAGTGTCTTGAAGAGATATTTGTACACCTAGATTCATTGCAGCATTATTCACAACAGCCAAGAGGTAGAATCAATCCACATGTCTATTGACATATATGTAAAGAAAATGTGGTATATACATACAATGGAATATTATCCAGCCTTAATAAAAGAAGGAAATCCTATTATATGCTACAATATGGATGAAACTTGAGGACATCATGCTGAATAAAATAAGCCATTGCAAAAGGACAAATTCTGCATTATTCTACTTATATGAAATATCCAGATTAGTCAAAATCATGGGAACAGAAAGTAGAATGATGGTGGTTGGGGCCTGGAGAGAAAGAGAGCTGAGGAATTGTTTCATGGGTACAGAATTTCAGTTTTACAAGATAAAAATGTTCTGGAGATCTGTTACAAAACAATGTGAACATGGTTAACATTACTGAATTATACATTTAAAATGGTTACAAGACTAAATTTTATCTTTTTTAACCACAAAAGAAAAAGAAATGAGCTATCAAGACATGGAGGAAATTTAAATGTATATTATTATTAAGTGAAAGAAACCAATGTGAAATTATTTCATTTCTTTTGTTGTAGCCATGCTTGACTCTTTGCTATTCCATGGACACAGTATTGAACTCATTTCACATCAGAGTTTTTGCACTAGCGTCCACTTTGTCTGGAATGCGGCTATATGCTCTATGATTCCAAATGACAATGTGAGAAAGACAAAACAATGCAGACAGCAAGATCAGTGGTTGCCAGAGGTTAGGAGGAGGGAGGGATATATAGGCAGAGCACAGAGGATTTTTAGGGCAGTGAAACTATTATGTATGATACTATAATGATGGATACATGTCATTATATATTGGTCAAACTCATAGAATATATAACACAAAGAATGAACCCTAATGTAAACTATGGACTTTGGGTATTAATTATGTATCAGTGTAGGTTCATCAATTATAACAAATGTATCACTCTGATACAGGATGTTGATAGTCAGGGAGATTATGGGTGTGTATTTGGAGACCAGAGGTATATGGGAACTTTGTACTTTTTATTAATTTTGCTGTGAACTTAGAGTGCTTTAAAAAGGGGGAGAGGGCTCTTTAAAAATGACACCTAGCCCAGCCAGTATGGCTCAATGGGTTGAGCATCAAACCATGCACCAGGAGGTTGCTGGGTGGATTCCTGGTCAGGACACATTCCTGGGCTGCGGGCTCAATCCCCACTAGGGAGTGTGCAGAAGGCAGCTGATTGATGATGTTTCACTCTCATCAATGTTTCGATCTCTCTCTCCCTCCCTTCTTCTTTCTCTAAAAATGAATAAAAACATTTTTTAAAAATGATGCCTAAATAGTGACCAAGCAAAATACTGAGCCTTGGGAAGCTCTAGGAAAAAAACATTCCAGACAAAGTGAACACTAGTGCAAAAGCCCTGATGCAGAAATGAGTTCAATACTGTGTCCATGGAACAGCAAGGAGTCAAGCATGGCTAGTACAAAATAAGTAAACTGGAAAGTGGTGGGAGATGAAGTCTGAGAGAGACAGAGGCTGATCACAAAGACTGTTGGCCAACTCAAGGAGTCATTCTATGCATATCAGTTTTCTCAATAACTATAGACACACAGTCTATACTTAAAGAATATTTTTTGATGAAACAAATAAAAGCCAATATATAAAATTTAATAAAACTTTATTGAACCTTACTGTTAATCAGACTCTGTGATACATATTGAAGATATAAAATAGGAGTAGACAATAGCCTACTGAAGAGCTTACAGTAGAAAGGGAGAACACAAAATAAATCCTTTTATGTTAAAACTCAGGACTCTCTCTGAAATCTGAAAAAGACAAATTTAGATCATAAGAACAAAGTTGTTTTACCAAATAACTGATAAAATTCCATTCTAAGAACAAAAAAATTATTCAAATATTTAAAATTTATGAATGAGAAAATGTGTAACATTTTATATATATATAAAAGCCTAAGCAACCATTAGTCGCTATGACACGCACTGACTATCAGGGGGCAGAAGCTCAATGCAGGAGCTGCCCCCTGGTGGTCAGTACACAGCCCCTCCGGTGGCCCCTCTCCCTGGCCTGCCAACCTCCTACAGCCCCTCCCCCTGGCCAGCTGGCCGGCCCCCCAATAGGCTTCGATCACCAGCCAGGTTGAGAGACCCCACCCGTGCACAAATTTGTGCACCGGACCTCTAGTTATTATATAATCTTTGACTTTCATCAGTTTCACCTTTCTAATAACTATGTTTCCCCAAATATAGTTGACCCTAGAATAACATGAGATTGAATTACATGCATCCACTTATACAAACATCTTTTTCAGTAAATACTGTAAATGTATTTTTCTTTCTTATGATTTCCTTTATTATTTTTAAATTATAGTTGACATTCAATATTATATTTTTTCATTATGATTTTCCTAACATTTTCTTTTCTCTAGCTTATTTCATTATAATACAGTACATAATACTTATAAGATACAAAATATGTGTTAATAGGCTGTTTACTAGTATATTATTGGTAAGGGTTCTGGTCAACAGTAGGCTATTAGTAGCTAAATTTTGGAAGAAAACAAAAGTTATATGCAAATTTATCTTATTTTTTTTTGCCTCAAAAAGTGACATTTATTCAAAGGAAAAGAAAAGAAAATGACAAGATAGCCATCCCTTGGCTCCATTCCCTCTCCCCTCCTGCTCCTCCTCAGCCTGCCAAGGAACCCTGGCTGGGATAAGGTAGCAGGCCAGCCCCTCTGAGATGAGGTCAGCAACATTGAGGGGCATCTCCTCAATGGAGGTGTTGTAGAGTCCTCTTGCCCTAGCTGGTTTGGCTCAGTGGATAGAGCATCGGCCTGTGGACTGAAGGGTCCCGGGTTCAATTCCGGTAAAGGGCATGTACCTTGGTTGCAGGCTCAATCCCCAGCACTGGTCAGGGTGTGTATGGAAGCAACCAATTGACGTGTCTCTCTCTCTCTGTCTCTCCCCAATCCTTCCACTCTCTTTGAAAATGGAAAAATATCCTCCAGTGAGGATTAACAACAACAACAAAAAGTCCTCTTGTTTTCTTCTGTTACCATATTAATAGCCACACCCTTATGGC